GTTTTCCATTTAAAATACATTATGATTTTGTTCATTTACATTTTGTAATAAAATAGATTCTGATATTACAATTGAGTGTTTTAAATAAATTATAATTTGATAAATAAAATAAACTGTGATACAATCGTGTAAAAAATGATAACACGTAAAATGTGCCAACTGAGAGAACAACATACTGGGAGAAACGATGTAGTTCAATATTCTAAACTGTTTAGTAAGCGATTACATAGTAAATATAATTATTTATTTGGTAAGATTCTCTAAACATGATTTGGTTCCGTTAAACAAATTAGACATTTTAAAATCATAAGTGAATGAGTAAAGAGAATTGTCAGCGGAACTGCACTTGTTTCGTTGATAAAATCATTCGATGAGATCTACGTTTCATGTCGTCACACTTACTTAACACTGTTTACTAAAGCGCGCATTCTCAGAAATTCGAATGATTATAGAACCCGCGTGAACCTTAAAAAATCACATACATAGTATTATATGTGTATAAACAACGTGTTTAGTATTGTATTGATTTTGAATAATTATATCTTCTATTCTAATCTAATGACAGAAAAACACCGCACAAGCTGTTCGCCCGTAACAATCTGCTTGCCTTCGGTCTGTCTGATTACCGAGATAAAACAAGTACGAATCAACGCGGCCGTGAGATGGGTGAGTGCTCGGGAACTCATGTTGTTGAACAACCTGGGTGGAAGGTCTGAAAAGAAAATATTTTCTTTCATATTTCTGCTTAATATGGCTTACTCAGCAGCGTTTAATAATGTATGAAACGCTACTATTCGTTTAGTAATTTTCAGTGCAACATGTTAAATGACGACCTGTGTAGTAAAATTCAACGTGCATTGGGCGATGTGGCTCAGGATGTAGCGCGCTCACTTCGCATTCGGGAGGCCTGAGTTCAAGCCCCGTGCCGGCCATTCTGACCGAGGTTTTCGTGGTTTCCCTCAGTACCCTAGGCGAATGCTGGGATGGTTCTCATGAAAGGCCACGACCGCAAAGCTGGCGTCGCCGAAATAATTTGTTAACTTCGTGAAGTCACGAAGGTTAAGCGAATTCGCGACATCGTGGTTCATGGATAGGTGACGGACTAGGAACCTCGAGATCTAACGGCATCGATGTCAATTGCCCTTTACTGGACATATAATGGCTAAGTGCAAATGCAAAATTCGACGTGCAATAGTATGAACGTGACTAAGCACTGTGTTCTTCCAAAATATACTCTACTGTATATGTCAATCTACTTCGTAATTAATTGTAAGAACAAAACATATCTCTCCGTGCAGCATTTAATATTTTATGCAATTTAGTTTTGTGATAAACTAGTTACTGTACGTATTTTTTCCCTTCATTTCTCCCTTATGAAAAGGTTTCTCCTTATTTTTCAATACATTTTCTCTCTTCCCTTCCCACTTTGTTCTCGCACGGAATTCTAGCGGTGGTGCCACTAGATGCTGCGACATCGATAGTAAAATATCGATGTTAGCAATTATCGATGTTCAAAATTAAAACATCGATGTTAATAAGGCATCGATTAAAAACCATCCATGTTTTTTTTAAACATCGATGCCATGTTTTAAAAGTGGTTTAGTAAGCTCTAAAATAAAATTCGTGGGCAACAAAATTTAATTTTACAGAGACTGTATTTACTAATTAATAATGAAGATTAAACTGAAAACAAACTAAAAACAATGAGAGCAAATGAAAATATTCAGCCTGAAAGACTGAGTGCCCACAGTAATCTCAAGAGGTCACAGTTTCCTGAGTTCGCCTTACGCCCACGGCCTACGCATACTCCCCATGTGCGAAACACAGGAAAGACGTCCGAAATACCAGGGCATCGGGGTCATCCTGAACGAGAGACAAGTCTACTCGATGAAGATAGCGCTAATGGAGCCCTCTGTGGAGCAGATCGTGAATCACTGTGCCTCTTCCACTCTGACACTGTCTCACCCATTAGCGATGCATACAAACCAATTCAGCGTTCTTTATACAGAGTTAAATGAGCAGAAACGGTGCCACTTCGTAGTTGGCTCAGAGATTCAGGAGGAGGCCGACAGATAGCATTACACTCTGCGTTTGAGGAGAGTTTTGACAGAGCATCGAATGACTGAGCGCTCGTTCAAATGAATTAGTATAAAAATAATATTTTGAAGAAACGATATTTTATATAAATATTTGTGGTGAAAATGTTATTTCCCTTCCTTTTTATTGTTGGTGGTGCTATGGTGCACCGACACTACCATACAAACCGCCACTGCTTGAGCACGCAATTTTACCCCCAAAAATAATATAAACTATACGAATATGAGAGAAGAAACGTTTCACTATTTTCATTTAATATAAAACGTATAGTGTAAATAGTCATTTAAATACCTGCTATTTATAAAATTTATAGTTTATGCCAGAATACTGCATTTTCATTACAGGTAGGAAAATGATATATTGTTCCTTGTTTGTATAGAGAAGATTATATTATTAGTGTTTACTGATGAATCTTACTACTTCACCGTTTTCTGCTTAGCATGCCCGAGCATTCAAACCCATATCTTTAAAAAGCAACTTATCATTTCATTACAAAAGAATTTCCTACAATTAATATTTGTTTTCATAATTGCTGCTTACCTCACACTAACATCTCACCTATGACCGCCCCTACATGAGAAGAAAACTACCTAATTGGCCGTGGTAGCGTCAGACCACAATTAATCTGGAGTAATTAGTCGGAATAGGTTTCTCTGTTAACGTTATTTGCAGGTAAGCGAAAACTATTCCGAGAAGCAGGTTTGTCTTAGGAGGAGAAAATTCATTCATGGAACAAATTTCCAAACTCTGAGCAACTAGAATTGTTTCGGAAAGAAACATAAAAGGGAACCACATTTTGATAGAAACTTTTCTCTGTCATATTATTCCTTACTCGTATATTTGAAACGCGAAGTAAAGATGACAATTATTGATTGTTTATCAGAAACTATTCACACAAAACCCCGTAAATGTATTATAGCTGGATAGGTCATCCCCCCCCCTAGGGGTGCACCAAACTGATCGGTTCGATCCACACAAATCATGTGTTCGTGCCTGACAAATCAGGTGTTCACGCAACCTGCACCACGCATTGCCTTGCAAAAAAATTACCCTCATTCATAAGTCGCAAACTGTCCATTCAACGGTCTGAACTTCACGTTTTCGTGTCCCTATAAGAGATCTGACTACTGCAACGGATGTTATAAGTTTTTAATGCCATAGTTTACAAAAAGATACCTTTAACTTTCTCTCATATTACATCCGTCGTACAGAGAAAAATGCTTCAGCGGGAAAAGGCGATTTTTTAGCTGAAAATTACTTTTAGTAGTCCTTCATACCCAAAAAGTGGATAATTCTTCTTTCTGCAAGTAGTAAATTACTTCCTCTAACTCGTGTCGGAATTCCTGTTTTGTAGCTTTTTGATACTGAAAAATTGGTTTTTGGCAAAACTAAGTCTGCTGTCCATCTACCGACCCGCCTGCCCATCTGCCTGTTCGTCCTTCTGGTATCCTCCAAAAGGTATTATTGTGTAGATTATGTGATAAGAAAGAACATGAAAATCTAGTTTTAAGGGCCTAAAATGCATCGTTTCCGAGTTTGCACGATGCTAAAAAGTGTATTGCCACGTAACGTACGTTGCGAGGTTCATATGCTCTAGAATTTCCCTTTACGACGTAATCGGAAAATTCTATTTTGTGTCTTAAATCTGCTTCATGCAGTACTGGGAGGTAATTCCATAATCCGTCCGTGGATACGATGTTTTTGTATCGACGGGTTCTTATAAATTATACAAAAATTATCATAATATCTTAACGAGTTTATATAATGGTAAGACGCTGAAATAACCCAACACGCAAATACTTTTGTGGTTTTGAGAGGTACCCATTTACGAAGTCCATTTTAATTGTGCGGAGAAGAACGGATTACCTGACGAACATGTTAAGGCGTTATACAATAACACCGAAGGTCTAAAAATTACAAAAAAAGCTTGTTAAAAAAAATAAGTAGGGATACAAAAATGAGTTTTTCATGCCGTAATATTTCCACTCGCCTCTTTTGGTGTGGAGAATATCTGTCAAGCGTGTGTAGGCTGTCCAAAATATTTACTGATCCTTTAGAACAAAATTAGGCGAGGAAATCTAGAAGAAGATCCAAAATTGAATTAAATAAAACTCTTGGCCTTAAAAGCGAATCAGAGACATTATGTCGTTGATTTTACTTCCCTTTAGAACACAATGAACCCACCAACCATAAAAAGAACCGAGTCACAAAATCGTGTTGAGCCGTGTTATCTTTTTTAGCGAAATTTATATAGGTAAGAGACGCCTACATAACAAAACATAACATGAGAAGACTCTTTTGGTTTCCATTGGTTGGTTGACTGGTTATTAGTGATTCCGGTGGGGGGGGAGGTAACTACGTAGGTAATTATTCCTAAAAGTGTAGTGAATGTTTTTGTTCGAGAGGATCATGCGATCTTTCCCCGCTGGATGGTGAGATCGTGTGCCGACCTATCGTTGGCTGACGAGGTTTTCCCAGACATCTCCCACCAGCGGGGAACCGCCCGGTCGGGTCAAGGTCAGACCTCCCGAACAGTCAGCCGGCATGTGTGGTAGTGTAGTGCATGTTAGTGTAAGTGTGTGTAAGGGGTGAGGATACGACAAGGAAGAAGACAGTAGATCGCGCATGGTCCGTTTCTGGCATTCACCTGGTGTAGATTTAAAAAAACACGGAAAACTACCGATCAGAGGAGCCCACTGCTAGAATTCTCCTCCAGGCACCGACCTAGCGATGTAGCTAGTATCGAAAATCTTGACACCGTAAGGAGTGGAGTTCTAGGACCTCCCGGTCAGAGACACTGCGGTGACATCAGTCGAAGCCCTGAGCCACCTCTCCCGGTTTGTGGTTCCCAGAGGTGTCCATGTAAGAAGTGCAGTGTAATTGTGCGGACGGGAGGGATTTACCTGACGAGCACAGGCGGCCGCGGGCTCGCGGACCGCAGCTCCCCTGGCGGCGGAGGCGCACACCTGCCGGCGTTGGGCGTCGCGGCGCCCAGGGCGTCGTCGGCGACGTCGGCGCTCGTCTCCTCGCGGATGCTCTCCAGCCCCCGCGCGCGCCGCCGGGACATCGCGGCGCAGCCAGCCCCACGAGGCTCCTCTCACGCGGACATTAGCCACGGCGGGGCTTTCGCGGCTTCGCACAGCGGGCAAGTACAAGTTCAGTTGTTAGCCCCAGTGCTAAAAACGAAATGTTTCTCAAGTATGTATGCACTCAGGTCTACCGGCGATGTCCCTGCCTCGCGGCCATGGGTTAAAGGAGTACATGTGGTTAGCACGTAGAAATCCGCATGCCGTATTCCGGTCTTCTCAACCTAAGAAGTGAATTTTCTCATCGTCACACGCAGCATATATTGGGACAAGGAAAATGCACACTATAGCCTTGGCTCGACCGGGAATCGAACCTAGCTGGAAATCAAAGCTACCCATGAGCTCGATGTTTCTCAAATATTCAGATAAATCTGTGAATGCAACAGAGAAAACAAAATACTGATATCTGACCGAATCACAACTGGCCTTAACGTGTCATTAAGTGATTTATGTACTTGAATTACAATAACATAAGTGAGAATGTCTGTCTAAACGAGTGGGGCTAAAACAGCACGTACTTTCTCGCCCGTATTTTCACGCAAAATTACGCGAAAAGAAACTGTCGAAAAATTGTACATGGCCTTATTTCAAAATATATCCTTAAGGAACAGATTTTATTATAGGAATAAATCTCTATCATTTAAATTTTAGTTGTAGAAAAATTTTGAATTTTTTCAAGTTTTGAAAAATCAGATTTTTCAATCAACATAAGATCTACGACATTCTCTTAAACTTCCTTCAGACTATCCAACAACAAAATGTAATCAAATCGATGGCGCCATTTTTTTCCCTTTTTTTTTAATTTTTGGAAATGTTTCAGAGTTTTATGTAAAGTAACCCGCAATATCGGTTTCAAACACAAGGGGCCGTGACTACAGTGAGATCAATTGCAGAATACAAATTTGGAGAAGCGGTTTATCCGCTAGCCGTGTTCACAGACGGACGGGCAGATAGACGTTTTGTCGTCAATTGATTTTTCGGTATGAAGGACCCACAAATATGGATTCTGACTACACCACGTGTTAGAGGTTTTTTTTTCTTCTAAATTTAGCAACTGGATTTATCCACTTTTTCGTTACCAGGACCATGTAATAAGAGTTCTTCTGACGAAAATTCGCCGTTTTTTCTTCCAGCATTATATTACTTTCTCTTCTTAAGAAGTTACTTCTTGAGTGCAAAAAAGTATTAGTGTATGGCATACGTGGGAAAGGTGATTTTATTTTGCTCGGAGGATAGAGACACTCAGCCCGCCTATCGGACTCGTATCGTACCCTTTCCTAGTCACAAAATAAAATGTCAGATTAACCACTCGTATCACAAATAGGACTCTTTGGCGACCGGTTAGAAAGAAAAGCATGCATAAATTCGGTCTTGAAAGTTCAATTTTTTAATACCATCCGCATGGAAACATACCGAAAGTACTTGCGATATTAATATTAAAAGTGCTACAATTAGAAAACCAAATACATGTACATACACATACAACCCCCGAACGGAATAATACGTAGTACGAGTATGTTTGTATTGCATTCGCTGTCAGAGTCACGCCGTGTCCATGGCAAAGGTGCCGACGTCCCCTGGACAGCCAATTCAATACTGACACCGTCCGCGGAAGCCTACGCTCTCACATAGTATGTTCTCCTCAATTAAATACACACGGGCAAACTGTCATAAAATTAAGGTATCGAATAAAATATTGTACAACATACTGCGCAAGTCACAACAGGAAACCTAGACTCGACCCTTCAACCTCATCCGGGAACTCTTCTAGTAATAGAAACTTTCTCTCCCTTGTCTTGAAATGGAAATTACTATTAGCCACTCCATTCCCTTACTCGCATTTAGTTCAGAGGGGGGAATATATGAATAATAATGAACGTGACCAGTCGCGATTCCCTAAAAACAAATTTAAATCACTATCAAATACTATAAGGTAAGTCATCCTCTTTACTATTATCTCATGCAGGTACATTAATAAAAAACCCTTCAATGCGATAAACGACGAAAAATTGCCAGTGAAGTGTGTATTTTTCTGCAAAGCGGTGCATTATCATTGTGTCTACGCTCGAAAGAGTAAAACAGGTAAGCTTAGCAAGAGGGTTATTGATTCGCTTTCGTCTGAAGTAAGAAGACGCATGAACCAGCGTGCGCGTTTCATCAAATTCAAGGACTCAAACCGAAACCGTTAAAAACTGTTCTAATAGGGAAACCGAAACTTTGTTTTCATTAGATATCTTGATTGAACCATAACGAAATGACGGAAGGATTTATACCCTTATCGTCAGTGCATCCACATAAAATTATTAAATTTAATTTTATGTAGATGAACTGAAGATTAGGGTAAAAATGCTCGAAACATGTCTGCTATGAGATAAAACCTATTTGATTAATACATCGTGTTTGTGAGAGATTACTTATTTTCCTCCTGTTATACAATGTAATATTGGGAATACAAGAATCAAATTTGAAACCAAGCAAGGTAGGTGAAACTGTGGCTATGCTTTCCAGATAAGTGGTGACATAATACAAACGCCAAAACGGACAAAGACCTCAGTGCAAAGACCTGCACTTCGTTTATGTACTGATGGCCTTCAAATGAGCCCTTGCTTAAGGTTTGCTGAAGCATTTAATACGACGCTGAGGTTTTTGTCAGAGTTTTTGTAAGTGGTTGTAAAGTTTGGAGGTGATGACATGGTTGATTTTAGAAGATATTTCTCTTATCTTTCAAAAACTGCTTTTATAGAAGTAGATAATAGAAAGTCTGAATAAAACTAATAGCGTATTGATGTCACTGTTATTTTTTTCATTTGATTGAAAATTCGGCCTAATATTTCATCACAACAATTTTCTCCTGCTTAAACGACATTCGTCTTAGACTACGTCGCCTGTTGACGGTGGCAAGATTTTCGACACCAGTTCAGTAGCTAGGTCGGTTTTAGCCGCTGTCTGGAAGAGAATTCTAGCGGCCAGCTGTTCTGATCGGTAGATTTCTGTAGTTTCTACTACCAACACCAGGCGGTTGCTGGAGCAGTACCTTACAAACGGGCCATAAACCGAGCGTGATCTTTCCTTCCTCTTCCTTGTCCTACTCTCATGCCTTGCTACGCACCATACTCTTATATGCATTACAATACCACACATGCCTGGAGGCCAGTCCTGAGCTTAGAACTTGTCCCGGCTGAGGCGGTGCTCTGCTGGTAGGAGATTCCTGGTTGGGGAAAACATCACTTGCTGACGTGTAGTTCAGCGCCGGATCTCGCTACTCAGCGTGGGTAGATCACAACCACTTCCAGCGATGAAACCATGCCCTGCACTTACGGAACTAATGCCTTTATCAGTTAACGCGGCCGGTATGTATGTAAATGTAAGAGGTTGTGATATAGTATGTGGAGAGAGGGCAGAAAATAATGTGGAAGGAAAGATCGCGTGGGGTCCTGGCGAATTTGTTCGCGTCTAACTCACGCATTTGTCTGGCAGGGATGGGAGAAACCACGATCAAAGAGTTTTCCCGCAGACAGTAGTTGAATTCGATCTAGTTATGTAACTAATCATAAAAATCCCCTACCATCGGGACTCGAACCCGAGGATCCCCGAGACAGATTCGCTGAAGAGACAACGGTGATGCTTCGGCTCTGAAGTCAGAATGACCATACTTATTCGACGACACAAAGATAACGGAATCAATCTTCATATTTTCGACAGTAGAATGCTATCATTTTCCCCATCACATCCAACAACCCTGACCCACAGTTATCTTCGCCAAACGAGACTCTCAGCCAGCTGCGGTGACGTCAGCGGGATCCACGCCATGGACCGACCGCTCGTCGTAGAGATTAGTCCTCGCTGTTGAAGGCGCGTTCAGAAATAAAAGCCCACTTTTCAACATTTCCTGAATTTATTTAGTTGCGATTTTTCAATTAGTCTTTTTCCTTCCCTGAGCGATGCTGAACCTACCCATATCCTTATTTTAAAACCCTAACTGTGCATGTAGAATAGAAAAGGTTCTGGTTGCTTGTCATATATTAATAGATATGTATAAATATATGGTGCGTGGTTTCTAAAACCTGGTCATTACAGGTTTAGAGATAGCGGTGTAAAGCCAGTTTCCCGCCACTCTTTACCTGATATTCCGCGTACACATGTTGATCGAAGCTGAAGAGTATCTTGTACTTGTCTATTGAACAATCCTCGGTTTAAGGGGGCATATCTCTGCGAATACTGTCACTTCATTCTACAAGAAGTTTAAAAAGAACCGTCAACAGGCCTTATTTCTGAATTTTAGTAGAAGTACAGTATGTGGTAAAACAAACGATACTGATATTATCTATCTTCTGCTCTTCCCATTTCCATTGAAACGGAGTATTAATTTAATTTATAAAATACTTAGTCATATAATTATTTAGAATTCAAGATTTTGGTGATTCCAGCAATTATAATGGAATTTCATTTCCAATCACAACGGGACAAGTCTGTTTCACATTAAAGAATAGTACGAGAATCAGTTTATTAAGGAGGAAACAGAAAAATGTTAGCTTCCATTAACGTCTCCTGTAAAGGACAAGAAGCGGATATTATTTTGTGAGAGCGACTCTCGAGTTGGGTATGGTTCAGTGGCTGCTTCTACTTGCTCATTTGTAGGAACACGCACCAAGTAGGCAACGGCGATGACAGATTTACGTGATTAAGGGCGGTGAGAGCAGAGAAGCAAGTCACATTCAAGGTATCTACAAAAGAGACAGCGTAGGACCCAAAAACCGCCACTACAAACGAGAGGCATGGACCATTTCTCAAACGGCCGTTGGATTGATTGGCTGATTAGTGCTTTCTGGCTAAACTGTTAAGGTCATTAGACCCGTAGGTGTAATGAACGTTTCATCGCGCAAGCAGCAAGTGGCGATTTTTATGCAGAAAAACTCGTACTGTGTGGCCCTGATATCGAAAAAAAGGATAAATCTTTGTCCTATATGTAGTAAATCACTTTCGCTAAAATGTTGTGAGTCTTGAATACAAACAAAATTGGGTTTTGTCAGAACGTTCGTCTATCCG